AAAAAAAAAAAAAAATGCATGTAAAATTACACCGACATTGCATCAACAATTCATCATTATTCTAAATATCTTTTTTTTTTTTCCCTCTCCTTTTCTTTGGCAAATTAAATTTGGACTATAATTTCTTTTCATATCTAGTGGGATAATAAAATAAATAAACATGGACTAATTAAAGACTCCATGCCATCATTGTAACATGGAGTGTAATTTTGCTCTTTCATGATCACCTTCGTGTAGATGTGTAAGAATTTTTATGTGTTTGATATGAATGTCCCACTATCCTTATCTTATCAAATAAATGCGAGACGAGCTCACAAGTGATATTTCAACGTGGTTCCTTACTTGTGAGTCCTTTATAAGCCCAAGTCTACAACCAAGCCGAGTACATTTTTAAATCATCGCAGGTCCCACATTTTGGCCGCTCTGATACCATGTCAAATTTTTCATAATCGGGGAATTATGGTGCGGTCTCACACAGTGAAGCACACCATAAGAATGTTAGCCTAAGTACACCTCAGTGAGATTCCATCCAAAAACTAATCGATCACGAGAAGAGTACCCTCTTAAATCAATGTGGGACGACTCACAAATAGTATTACAACAATTCGTATGCATACATGTACGATCTAAATATTCCAACCAGATTTGATAATCACACAAATAGCTAAGATGAATTTTTTAGGTAATATACAAACAATTTCAACACAATTTTGGCCGTTGATGGTAGTTGCTAACTTATAGATCAAGAATTTAGAGTTTAATCAATAATAGGTGAAAATAACTTCAAATTAAGATTCGACTAATAAATAGCATCATTATTGATGATGAGTGACTACTTAATACCAAAGCTATTGAAAAATGTTGGGTTATTAATTATCATTATGAGATAGACATGTCACACCCTTCACTTTCATCCAACCAAGAATTGAACGTGATTTATTTTCCTTTTAATAATTGTTTAATAAAGAGAAAACACAAGATTACATTATTTCATAATTAGTAGGGGAAAATCTATAATAAACCAGATATATTCCATTTTTTACCATCTAATATAGTATAAGAAAATGTATTTTTTATAATTTTATAAATATTTTCTAAAATAATGATATATACGAATATTTATTATTATTTTTAATTAATTTCATATTTGATAAAAGGGCAGATTGGTTTGAAAATAAGTTGCAACTAATTTACCAATTTAATTGACAAATCAATTTTCAAACAAATATTAATTATACAATAGGTCGAATTAGCTGTAAAGTAAATATGTTGAAGGACCACTTTTCTGTTTTGGGCCTAGTTGGTCCATCTGCCGCCATTCGGCCTGTGTCGTTTAGTTTAATCAAGTCTAGTTAGTTACATTATCAATTTAATATTAGTTGAAATTTTCAAATTAAATTATATATGTTATATAGATATTATTATTTAGATTGAAAAAATTTGAAGATATACATGGAGTTCATATTGATAAGACCAATTCTTTGAGTTGAATTATTTTTACATAAATAGTGAATCTAGAATATTGTTTTCCACATTTTTTTTAGTGGTAGCAACATTTTAAGTATTGAAATATCACTTGTGAGTTGTGTCACGTTGATTTTATAGGGTAAATGAGTCTAGTGGGCTACTTCTCCCATCACCAATTGGTTTTAGGATGGAACCTCACTTCAGTGCATCTAGTTTCCACAAGTGTAAGATAAAAATAATTAGTTGTGAAAAGAAAATGAAAAAGAAATAAAAATGTATATTCTTATTGTGAAATAAAAAAAATATATAAATAATGCACATTTCTCGAAAAATAAATAAGTTGAAAAATATAAACGTGCAACTAAATTAAGTGTATAAGAATACACTATTAAATATATAAAACATGCACATAATCTCTTTTTTGGTAGCCAACCACGGTA